TTTATATAAAAGACAATTAACAAAATTGGAATGTGGAGTATAGATTACAATAACAATAGTTAAGTTTTTTAATTTATCAACTATATTATGGTTATCTAAAAGAATATCCTTGTTCTTAGGAAATACACACTGAATTATTAAGGAATCAAATGTATAATATATGCAGCTTATACTCAAATGGCTTGAAAGAATAAATAATAATATATACATATATATGGGAGGAACAATAAAGAAAATGTGGGGAATTGCTAAAAATTGGTAAATTTAGATAAACATTATGGAGTGGTTCTATGGATTATTTTTCTCCATACTTTTCTGGTAGTTTATAATAACCTCCACATAAAAGGATGATAGAAAACAAGCAAACAAAAACTTAGTATTCTGGAAATTACCTCAGTATAAGGAATGGCCAAGGTGCAGGAGCCTCTTTAAAGAATCTCAAGAGTTCTGGGTTTTACCCGGTCATGGTTTTCACGTTCTGGTGGAATTTTTGCCATAATTTTTCTGTCTTTTCCATACCTTGTGGCAGTGGCAGAGGTGGTGACTGCAGTCTACCTTAAGGTTAAAAACACCTGCCTACCAGCCTCTCATCCTTCTATGTATCCTCTTCAATTATATCTTCCCTACAATATAGAGGTGATATCAACAAAACAGTAACAAGTAATTAACAATTAATTTCCTAAGGATATTAATTATCATGAGTTTGTGTGTCCACAGTACTAAAATATATAGTTAATTTAGGAGGGATAAGGCTACAGAAACATTCAATCTATCTCTTTGGCACTGAGCGACTGAATTTATTTTATTTTTATTTCGATACTAGGGGCCCAGTGCACAAATTCATGCACGGGAGGGGGGGGTTCCCTCTGCCCGACCTGCACCCTCTCCAATCTGGGAGTCCTCAGGGGATGTCCTACTGACGGCTTAGGCCTGCTCCCCATGGCTCTCTGCTCTCAAGACCTGCCTGCTTGATGCCATCATAGGCCCTGGTGTCTGCTCTCTGTGGGAGCCTGCTTGCCCTTCGCCACCAGGGCCAGGGGCAAGCAGGGCCCTTCTGTTTGCTCTCTGTGGGGGCCTGCGGGGGACTGCTTGCCTCTCGCTGCCATGCCAGTGGCAAGCAGCAACCTACTATCTGCTCGCTCGCTGTGGGGGACATTCCCACCCTGCCCCCAGCCGCTTGCATGTGCACCAGCTCAGAGCACCTGGGTGCTGGGGATGTTCCTGCCCCCGACCCCCGGCCACTCGGCGCCTGCGAGCGTAGGCCCAGAGTGGCTGGGAGTGTTCCAGGACCCCGGCTGCTGTGGGCCTACACGCGGGCCTACAGGCTCAGAGCGGCCTGGGTCCTGAGGACACCTAACCCCAGGACCCAGGCTGCTTGGCGCCGGCATTTGCGCAAGTGTCTGCCCCACCCCTGGCCATTCAGCAGATGGCGAACCTTTTGAGCTCGGCGTGTCAGCATTTTGAAAAACCCTAACTTAACTCTGGTGCCGTGTCACATACAGAAATTTTTTGATATCTGCAACCATAGTAAAACAAAGATTTATATTTTTGATATTTATTTTATATATTTAAATGCCATTTAACAAAGAAAAATCAACCAAAAAAATGAGTTCGCATGTCACCTCTGACACACATGTCATAGGTTCACCATCACTGGTGTAGATTATTTACTATAATCTACTAACCATCTCTACTATAATGGGCACAGCATTACAGATGTGTGAGGAGTTTTGATTCTAGCCAGTCTGGCCTCATAAGCCATTAGAAATGGAGCTTATGTCGTAGTCAAGTGAAAAGTAAATTATTTGTTGGTATAAACTGCCTGGAAAATATTTGAATTTTACTATTTTATATTTTAAATAAGCTAAATATCATTCAAACCCTAAGGGTCTTATCTAATAAATGACATCAAACAAATTTGAATTGTTAGTGTTTGTTTCCTGTCTGATTGGGGTAGTTCATGATTCATCATGCCCAAACCTTTTTCTTCTCACTTTACAAAAAAGTTTGGTTAGAATTGAGAAACAATGGCTCTGACTTACCTTAATCTCTTAAGTACTTCATCAAAACTGTCATTTTTCTATAATTAGGACAAAAAGATAATTTTGCTACTTGATCCCACAGCTATTTCAGGCCCATTTACTAGTAATACCTAAGAAGCTAAGTCCTAATGAGAGACCTGGGCCTCATTGACTGACTAATGCCCATTCTTATCAGTGTGTCTTAAGATTTAGTGAGGTACTTCATATGCTTATATAGTAAATTATCTAGAGGGCTATGGAATAGGTCATGCTCATGAATACTATTTGGTTAATTGTGTGAGGTTCTTTTTTGATAGCCCTGTAAACCCACTCACCACATTTCAAAAAAATAAGAATGTACCAAAAATATAATGGAACTTAAATATTATTGAACATTTGCCTAGCTGGCATGGCTTAGTGGTTGAGTATCAACCTATGAACCAGGAGGTCATGATGCGATTTGCGGTCGGGGCACATGCCCACTTTGTGGGCTCACTCCCCAGTGTGGGGTGTGTGGGCAGCAACTAATCCATGATTCTCATCATTGATATTTTTATCTCTTTTCCCCTCTCCCTTCCTCTCTGAAATCAATAGAAATATATTTTTAAGTATATTATTGAACATTGTTTAATTCTTTTTTTAATTATTCAGAACACATTTTAGGATCTTGCAAATGTTCATGGTCATTATTTTGAAAGTTCTCATAATATTGCTCTCCAGATACAGAATAATAGAGAGTGGACTGTGTCTATACTGATTTAGGACATCTCTTTTACATTCTTGATATTCTTATATTAGCTTGTATTAATAAAGGAAGAAAATAATTCTACCTTACGTTTCAGGAAATTGAACTTCATATGATCCATGAAAATAAAGCATCTCAAGGTTCTTCACTTACATCCAGGAAAACCCGAGTAGTAACACTGCACTCAGAACTTTCAGTGGTTTAGACCAAGAAGTCATGATTCTAAGGACAAAGTTCAAAATAATCTCTTTTGGGAATTAGGTTCTATTCAGAAATAAGGATTTATTCAACCAAAAAGCAATAACTTTTTCAAACAAAGAACTCGAGGAGTTATGTCTAATTGTGGCTTACTTGCCATTTATATATAATTATTTTCAAATCTGTAATCCAGTAATTAATTCTTATACTATCTAAAATGTTTTATAGACATGTTATATTATTATGTAATGTAACCCTATTATAAATGGCAATGGTGTTATTAACTTAGCTCGTTTACTTATTTAGTGCTTGTTTGTTCTTAGTTTATAGTTGTTAATTCCCTTTATAGTATGACTTGTACTTGGAAGCAATAAAAGTAGATTTCTTTATAAATATTTATGGTACAGACCTTTTCCTAAATCAGACTTAGCCCTTTCCTAATTATTTCAATAAAGTCTGCTTACATCTTTTTTTCCCTGTGTAACAGTATGTCCTGCATGCTCCCTAGAATTTTAATCCTAGGTAACTATGCCTTAACTTCCAATTAATCAAAATCTTGTTAACTGCCATGTAGGTTCTCTGTTACAGTGTGTGGAAAGTTAGTTACTCAGAGTTTAAGTAGATGCTTCTGGTATGGAGTCTTCTTAGCACCTACAGCCATGTGGTCAAAAGGGACCACTAAGTAAATGAGACCTTCTTGACTATCAGTCTTTCCAAGAGGATCTTTTTTTGCATTTTCAAATCTATGTTTATCTATTATTGAAAGTATTTATTAGCTGCAGGTACCAGAAGGCAGACAGAACATGGTGTTTGTTTGTTTGTTTGTGATTTTAAGTTCTTTACTAAGACCTTAAGGTTCTCAAGATCTCCTTTTCCCTTCTCTCTTGATCATAGGTGAGACTGAAGTTTACAAGTCTTTGACCACATTGTCCCCATAACAGATGCAAATTTGTGATTTCAGAAGTTCCAGCCCCCAATAAAGAGCACTATACAATCTTTTGCAGATGTCCTCTGGGCCAGATTTCATCACAAATAACTTCATTCCATTGTCATGTGCCAAGTCTAAAGTACTGTATTAGGTTACTCTGTAGTCAAATCAACCAAGCCCTGGTCCAGACTGCTGTGAGACAAGAGCCCATTGTGTCCTGGTCGCTCAGTTGGTTGGTTCATTGTCCTATACACCAAAAAGGTTACGGGTTCGATTTTGGTCAGGGTACAAACCCATGGTGCAGGTTTGATCCCCAGACAAGGCACATACAGGAAGTAACCGATTGATATTTCTCTCATCTCAATGTTTCTCTTTTCCTCTCTCTCTAAAACCAATAAACATATCCTTGGGTGAGGATTTAAAAAAGAGAGAGGGAACCCATTGAGTTGTTCTGCCCATACATTCAGTGGCAGCTTTCCCTTTTGCTAGTTGACATATAGTTTAAAGGAAATAGTGACTCCTTACTAAAGCATAACCAGATTAGGTTATTGTAATAAGCTCCCCCCCCCCCAAAAAAAATCAGTAACCCTTGACCTTGGCACAAAGCATTATAATAGAATAATAGTTGCATTTCTATTGTGCCGTTGTGATTTTCTGTAAAGAAACACCCAAGAGGAATCATTATTTCTACTTTTAAAATTTATAGCCCTTTACTGTATCCAGGATTTCACTTCCCAGAATGCAGTCAAGCTTGAAGCTTTATTAGAGATCCATGATCCAGTCCTTATAAACACTTCCTTTAGCTTATCGTTTCTGTTCAAGTATTTGCACTGTCCATAAAGGTACTGTTACCACGTACAGTCGTTCCCCCAAAAATGAACCACCTAGGTATAACTCTGAACAAAAATCCATCTGTATGCTAAAAATTACCCAAAAAGCCCTGCTTACAGATGCCTTTGCACCTTGGTTCCTGAGTGCTCACATACAGCCTGGAGCTCATGTCTCTTTGAAAGATGAATGATGAAGGAGCTTCAGCTCTAATGGGTGAGTTTGTATATTGAATATTACAAAGAGAAGTCAGTCTGCCTTTCTCTGGCTCTAATTGCAGAAAGTGAAGTCACCGCTTTTGCTGTCTTGGATCAGGACCAGGAAGAAATTATTGATACCAATGGAGCCGGAGATGCATTTGTTGGAGGTACCGACTCATTTATTTTATACTTATAAGTTAAACATTTCCTTAACCCTTGTCTCTAACAGATAGCCAAGATTTATGAATTTAATAGCTTTTAATTTCTTCTTTTAAATAATTAACTCCTAATGTTCTTTCCATATCTACTATCACTGTAAGTATTAAGAAGGTATTTTACTACAGGGAAAATATGTATTTTTTACTTAAATATAATTTACTATAGTGCTATCCCCTAGTCATTTTCACAAGATTAATTGTGTCTGTCAGAATATTGCACAAACAAGCTGCATCAAGTACAGTGTGTAGTGTATTCATAGCCCTTTGGGCTTAAATGTTAACACATTGTTGTTCTTTAAGACAAATTGTGATGAATATTAAACAGTATGCTGCTAATAGCTGAGGATTATATTATTTGGTTAACATGTGTTTCTAACACAATAGTTGGATGTTTATCTTATGAGGAAGAGTTAAATTTTTGTCTGGTTCAGGCTTAGCAAGAACTGGGGCCATTTATAAGGACCATATTATTTTTGAAATGAGCACTCAAAAACAAGATCAAGATAATTAGGAGATTCTTGGCTTCATTACTTAGATTGATCTAAAATCTGGTTCAAAGGTTCTTTTGATACATCTAAGCTCCTTCTAGTTAAGTGTAGGTAAGCTAGGTTATGGTGTGTGTAAAGCTGTAGATTTTAGAATGATAACCCACAAGAGTCCCTCCTGATCTGTTTACTTCTCATACCGTCAAGCATGACAAGGAAAAAAAAGGCAAATGGAGCTAACCATTGTCCTTCTTCTCTTGGAAAATAATTTGAATCATGGTAAACATTTAAGATCGGTGGTTTTAACTCAGTATTGTTCAAAATATATATGTATGTATGTATGTATGTATTTTAATGGTCTTTTGTAGCACCATAAATATTTCATATTTTCTTCTTTGAAGCTATTCATGCTTAGTCTTAAATGAGCAGTTAACCATGAGACTGGTAGCATGCCCCATGCTCTTTTCTTTGCTCTGAAAGGCTTCATCATTGATTAGAGTATTTTGCAGCTATTTTTTTCTATTCCATACTGCTTCAGAGCTGTAACTCCATGCAGGCTAAAAATATCTCATCCAGAATTGGGCCAACTTCTGTAACACATTAAGGAAACACTATTGATTTCCTGGTTAGAAATTGCTTAAAACAGGAATCTTAGTACAGAAACGTTTAAACTTGTCTCCATGTAGCCTTTTTAAGTAAAATATTTAAAACTTTAAGTGTTCTCTATTTTTATATTTAGGAGTGCAAATGATGGTAACCTAATGGGGGTCTGGGCTATCTGGCTCTGCAACACTAGATTCCCTTCCAGACCCCTGGTTACCTGTAGTGCTTCCAGTATTAGGGAAGAACAGAGACTTTCTGAGGGAAAGATAAATCATTCTTAGGACAGCTAGCTCCCCGTTTGTATTGTGCTTACGGTGATGCATGGACTGCCTCAGCAAAGCACTTGGGGTCTTTGTTAAGGATTTTCAGCCTCTTTTTTATCTTATTCTACTTGCCCAGCTTCATTATATATTTACTGTCAGGGTACAGTGAGGTAAATAAAGAGGAAAGAGAGCGGAACTTTTTGTAAAGGACCACATAGCGAAAATTTTAGGCTTTGCAAGCCATATACAGGCTGCATTGCATAGTTTTCTTGTTCTGTTTGTTTGATTGCTTATTTTCTGTTTTATTTTTTATTTTTACACTAAAATGTAAAAACCTTCCTTAGCTGTACAAAAACCGGCCACAGGCTGGATTTGGCCTTCAGTCTGTAGTTTGCTAACTCCTTTTAAAGACATGACAGCCTCCTCACTCTATTCACTCTCATCATACCCTGGATCCAAACACTGCATTTCACTACACATTGCTGGAATCAGTGCAGACAAAGAAGAAGGCAGGCTGGTACTACTGCTGGTACCTCTATTAGGGAGCCATTTTTCTCCCTTTAACTCTACTCTGATCAGTTCCCATGATAATGAGATCTTGAAAGACTGAGTCATGCAATAAGATGAATATGCTGTCATTTTGGCAATGGAATACTTATGTCAACATGTTCAGCACATTCTATGTAAGTCAAGCTGTATAGTAATAGCAATAGATAAATTTATATAGCATCTATGAGCCAATTCATACCTTAAGCACTTTACATATATTAACTCACGTAATGTTCATAAAAGCTCCTGGCAGTTCATTTTATTGATGAGAAAACTGGGACATATAGGGGTTAGGTAACTTGCCTAAAGTCTCATAGCTAGAAAGTAGCAGAATCAGGATTCACACCAGGCATTCTGGCCCCAGATGCAGTACTCTTACTCACTGCACTGTATTTTCTCAGAACTTTTAGGGAAATCTCATTAGGATAGAGAACCACAGTCCAGCCCTACTAACAAAAGCTGGTTTTGCCAGAGAGAAACTTCCTCTCATCTGAATAGATGACTTTATTTATTGAACAGGAGCTTTTGTTATCTGATGGGATTCTCAGGACTGTAGATTGTTGCAAAAAAAGAGAGGAGAAAGGGTAGGGAATCGAAGGACTGTAGTCCCTGGTGAGTTTGAACCAGGAGCTTTTCCGAAGCAATAGAATTGATTGCACTACAGAGATCCAGAAAGCCAGATCATAAACTTGCTTGGTCAGCATACAAGAAGTAATATGAATCATCTGTTTAGTAGCACCAGGCCAATGCATCCATCTTAAAATAAAGGAGGTATTGTTAGTTTAAAATACAGAAAAATCCATTGGCTAAAAACCCCTACTCCCATCTCTACACCAAGGAACTCCTTTCTGCTCGGATTTGAAATAATCCAGCCGTGGGAGCAAACTCCTCTACCTTGCAAATGAATGGAGAGGCAATGACAAGTTTTACATTTACTGTGTAGTTCCTTTTTCTTTGTTTTCTTGCCTGGTTATTAATATACTAGAGGCCCAGTGCATGAAATTCATGTGCAGATAGGGTCCCTAGGCCTGGCCAGAGATCAGGGCCGATCAGATTCTCTGCCTCCCTGCCTCCTCCTTCCTTCACTCCCTCAGCGCCCCGCCGCCACTGGTCGCCCGCCATGTTCCTTGCCGCCCCCTGGTGGTCAGCACATGTCATAGCAAGCGATCAAACTCCTGGTCTCCTGGTCGAACTTCTGAGGGGACACATTGCATATTAGCCTTTTATATATATAGATCTCCTTTCTGAGTGACACATTCTATCTTTAGATAATATGTGCTCCTATTACTTTCAATTTTTGCTGGCTTAAGAGTGTTTCTGTCTTTTGTGACTTTGCATAACAATATATCTTTCCCAAACTTCTTGGATAAAGCATCCCCTCACCTACCTTGTGCTAATTACATATCTCAATACCAGAGTGCCATGTGTTTCTATTAGCCACATAAAATATATATGGTTAAATCATACATTTTCATGTATAATTTAAAAATGAATACCCCAAATGTATATAAGTTGAATTCATAGTTCCATCTCAAGGGTTTAATGACAGTGACAAATCCCTTCAGCCTCTACGAGCATACCTCCTTGTTCTGTTTGGGGTTCTTAAGCACTTTGTCACATTTGCCCTTTATTTGTCACTAGCCAGCTCTCATGGAACTACCCTTTTCACATTCTCCCTCAAAAGCCCAAGTGCTACAATTGTACCCTTGGAAATGGAGACAATTCTATAATCTCTAAGTACGATTTCCTAATTTCCCAGGTCAGGAGGAAATGTCCTCCCGTTGTCCTGCTGCGCTTAGTCACAGCAGGTTCGCCCTTTCATTTGGAACCCTCTTTGTCACTGCCATAGTAACAAATGGAAACATTGAGAACATTCTGTGACAGACACTGTCATTGTTCCTGATGAAATCTCTTCCCCTGTGTCTTCCCAGTAAGTGAAACTGAGGGAAAAAAATCACAAGTACCATGAAAGGAGACCTAACAATATGTTTCCAGTAGGCTGTCAATATGAACTTATGTTAATCTAATATGATTTAGTCGAATATTTTATGGCAGTTGTAAGGATATGGTCTAGGCCTACAAATTATCTTTAGACTAAAAATGAGTATGCCTTTGCCAGGCACAGTGATATAACTCTCCGAAAAATGACTAGAGACCTTACCTAAGGACCAACATTCTTAGGATTAAAAAAGCTTCATTAGCCCCGCTAGTGTTGCTCAGTGGTTGAGCATCAGCCTATGAACCAGGAGGTCACGGTTCAATTTCCGGTCAGGGCACATGGCCAGATTACAGGCTCGATCCCCAGTACCAGGCATGCAGGAGGCAGCTGATCAATGATTCTCTCTCATCATTGATGTTTCTATCTCTCTCTCTTCTCCCTTCTTCTCTGAAATCAATAGAAATGTGTGGGGTTTTTTAAAGCTTCATTAAATGTGGTTAAGAGCCCTACATAGCTTAGAACAGTTTAGTATTTTGAAGGATGGTAAGGTAACTATGCTGCCTCTAATACTTTTTATTTTTAAATTTCTCATAACTTTAGCAGAGAAAGTATATTACTCTAAAGATATTACCTACAATAAGCATATGACTTTTAAAGCCACTTAGCAATCACAATGTAAGTAATTGTCCTATTTCCCATCTAATAAAAGGGAGCACTAATTTCACTTTCTAATTAATGTTCAGAAAAGAATTTTGGTTAAAAAAGAAAAAAAGGTATGTTTCCAGAACAGGGATGCTATTTCCTTTCCATGTAGCACCTGCCTATACTTCTAGCAGCCATTGAGATTCTTTAAATTATCTTCATATTTCCTGTTCTCACTTTGTTTGTTCCCAAACACTTTTAGCTTACTTTCCCATTCTTTGTAATTGCTGCTTCATTGCACTATGCAAAGAAGTGATGCAGAATTCTTATGATTTATTTTTCTGCACCACCTTCTTCCTTTGCTCTTAGACTCAGAAGGTAGAAAATTACATGCTGAGTGTTAAATATATCATTTCTCACACTTCTTTGCTTAAAAACCAAAACCTGGATATGGCCCACTGCATGTAG